ATCAAAGAGTGAGAAGTTGGGGCATAGGCAAAGAACTAAGCTGGCAATGAAATACAGAAACCACTTGGCTCCATCTGTTTGAAATGTCTGTGTGACCCAGAAACTAAAATATTGATACTTAGAAACCTGAAATATATGATTAATTAGTTTAAGATATTTGAGTCAAAATGGTACAATGTAATGAACATCTTCATAGGAGATTTAAGATCTTAAAAATAATGTGGTTTTGCTTTGTAAATGACCCGTTATCTGAACTTTGCATTTACGACTGAGTCATAAAAAAATCACACATTATAGGCATTTCATTTTATCAATCATTCATCCGTCCATTCCTTTACTGTGTTGCTGGGGCATATACCAGGGTCTGCCAATTGTTAAAGAGATGCTCTTCCAGGAGTCAATGTACCTCAGGGGAAGCAGAATGACCCCACATCACAGGAATCTATATTATATAGCCCAGTACAGTAAGTCCTTGTGCCAGGGATCAGTCATATATATCCTGAGCTACACCACCACCATGCATGACAGAAGCAGATCTGAGGGGCAGGGAGTACTGCCATAAAGGAAACTGCTGCTCACAAGAAGGTCAAGTGAATTCAGTTTTTCTCACTTTAGATTTAAAAGAGGAAATTATACAATCCAAAAAATTAATACTGTGCAAGATTCCCTCCCCACCTCCATCCAAGAATTTGTTACTGTTTCCTAAAATGAGAGCCATTCCACTTGTTGAGATACATTGCAGCTTTAATTTACATTTCCCTAATTCCAAAAGATACTGAACATTTTTTTCAGAATAATGAAAATTATTCATTAGCTCATTTGCTAGTCTGTATTGAGGTTTTTGGCATCAAGATCTTAGCTCCTTGTGTACTCTGGACAGTATCTGCCAGACACACAGCTGGAAGATGTCCTCCCACTCTCAGATAGTCTCTTCACATGCTTAGTTTAAGTTTTATGCATCATTTTAAACAAGACAAAGTTGATTTTGGCAATTATCAATACCCCAGCCTCACAGCAGCCCCATTTGTGTTCCATTGGTACTGCCGCCTAACCTACTGCAGTCTCTTAGTAGGTCCTCATCTGTTCCTATATCTTAAAATGTTTTCCTTAGCTTCAGAGTTCCAGCTCTTACATTAGGGTCTTTGGTCCATTTCTACACTGGTATTTTTGGACAGGATGAGAAATAATGATCATCTGAGCCAACTGATAGCCTCTTTACTTAGACCTAAATTGACCCTATTTGATAATGAATTTGCTGTTAGGGAACCAAGATTACCAAATTCTGCTTACTTTTAAGAAAATTTTAAAATCTATTTTACTTCATTTCTAGCATTAAAAATGCGATGTTATTTCCTAGGTTTTCAAATTGCCCTACAATGATTGTATCCCCAACAACTTGACCTCTCTTGGATCAGTCATCACCCACACTATACCTCTATGACATCACTATTTTCATGGGCCTACTGGTACTCAAGATTACTAGTTCTTAAGAGGTGACTTTGTTCTGATACCAGCTGCATCTTGTTTCTGCTATTCTTTTGCTTTAAAAAAGTTTAGAGATTTCTTATCAGGTTGTGGGATTATGTTATTTAATTACATAATTTCCCGCTCCAAACACTCCAATATAACCACTCCTTGATCTCTTTCATTCATGGCCTCTCTCTCTCTCTCTCTCTCTCTCTCTCTCTCTCTCTCTCTGTGTGTGTGTGTGTGTGTGTGTGTTTGCGTGTGTGCATGAGCATACATGTGTGTGTGGGGCATTCCTAAAAAATACAACTTTCTCAGTCAATATAATGTTACTTGCATGTTTTTTCAGGGCAAATTGGCATCAGATAACCAATTGGCCTGCTTTGCCCTGGAGAGGACTATGTCTCCCATTCTCAGCATTCCTTGGTTGACTGTAGATCTTTGTCTAGGGCTCAAGCCTCATGAGCTTTCCTCCTTCCACATTAGTTTGGATATTGGTGTAGTCCTTGTTCAGTAAGTACTTGTTCACCATGTTGCTGAAACTTTATGGATGTAGCTTCTGACATTACTAGGAAACATATCTCACAGAAAACTCTTGTTTTCCTGGCTCTTACAATCTTTCCACCCCCTATTCAGTAATTATCCCTGGGTCTAAGGTGCAGGAGTTATGTCATAGATGTATTGGTTGGAACTGGGCTCCACAATTCTGCATTTTGATCAGCTGTCGTTTTCTATAACAGTCTCTATTATAAAGAGAATTTTCCTGGATGAGGGGTGAGGACTACACTTGCATATGGGTGCAACAATGACTATTTAGAATGTAGGTAGGGATTCTGCTGGTTTAGTAAAGTGGCAGCTATGGATTTTTCTACAAAATTCATGACTTCATTAGCCCTGGGTAGTTAGCTAGGTTTTGCAATACTCCGGGTATGATTTCTCTCTTGTTGAACAGGTTCTAAGTCCAAATCAAGAACTGTTGGTTACCACCAAGGTATACATGCCACTATTGCACTCTACCGGTTACTGTGCCATGGTGGTTGTGATGGTTCACAGGTGTAATAGCTAGGCAGGACACTCATTGCTTCCCTCCTTGGGAAAGCTGGTCCTTAGTGAGGAGGCTTTCAGATCAGACCTAATTTGGGTCCTCTGGGCCCTGTGTCTGAAGTACATAGTGTCTTCATCAATAGGGACTTGCCTTCCACCTCCAGGAGGCAAACAAGGGCAACAGCAATTACCTATAATGCACTGGAAACCTCCTGGCAGTTACTCTAGATTACATACTCCCATACAAAGATTTGAAGCTAGGAACCCAAGATAAGAGAGAATATGTTATGCTTGTCTTTCTGGGTCTGGATCACCTAACTCTTTCCCAGTTTCATCCACTTACCTAATAATCTATTTTTCTTTACAGCTGAATAATATCCCATTGTGTATATGTACCGCATTTCCAATATTCATTCATCTACTGAAGATCATTCAAATTGTATTTTCTAGCTATTGTGAATGGAGCAGCAATGAGAAAGGCTGCACAAGTGTTAATGGAGTAAAATGCTGTCCTTTGCCATGTTAAGGAGTGGTATAGCTGGGTCACAAGGTAGACATATTTTTAGCTTGTTGACAGTTTTCCACACTGATTACAAAGTGGCTGGGCCAGTTTGCCATTCCATCGACAGTGAATGAGGGTTCCTTTTCTGCCACATCCTTTCTAGCATTTGTTATTGGTTGTTTTGATTTTTACCATTCTGACTAGGCTAAGGTAAAACCTTAAAGTTGTTTGATTTACATTTCCCTAATTGCAAGGCATGGTGAGCATTTCTGAGATAGTTCTCAACTATTTTTATTTCTTCTTTTGAGAACTCCTAGTTCAGATCTCAGCCCCATTTTTTTCAGACTTCTTAAAATTCTTTATGTATTCTGGAAATTAATCCTCTGTCAGATATATATCTGACAAAGATCCTCTTTCTTTTTTCCTTTAGCTGTGTAGAAGCTTTTTAGTTTAATGAAGTCTTACTTTTCAACTGAGAGGCCTAATTTTTGAGCAAATGGAGTCCTAGTCACAAAGTTCTTTCCTACACGAGCATCATGTAGATTATGTCTAAGTGTTCTTCTAGAAGTTTTGGTGTTTCAGGTTTCACAATTGGGTTTTGATCCACTTGAAGTTAGTTTTAATGCAAGGTGATTGATATGGATCTAATTTCATTCTTCTATATGTGAACATCCAATTTTCTACTTACTGAAGATACTTTCTTCTTAAGCATAGGATTTGGCATCTTTTAATGGCTGAAGTCATTTGTACTCTTGTTTGGGTTTCAAGTTTTGCTTTACTGGTCTACATGTATGTTTTTCTGATAGTACTTTACTATTTTAATTACTATGGCTCTGTTTTAAATCTTGAGATTTGGAATGGTAATCCAACATTTTCTCAGGATTTTTTCTATCTGCAGTCTTTTGTGGTTCCATATGAATTTCAGGATAGTTTTTTCTACTTCTGTGATGAATGAGATGGGGAACTTGACTGGCTTTGTACTGAATCTGTAAGTGACTTTTGGTAAAATGGTAATTTTCATAAATATTAATTCTATCAATCCATGAATATGGGACTCCTTATCATTCCACTTTCTATTGCCTTAATTTAATCTTTCAGAGGTTTAAATTTTTCATTGTGGAGGCCCTTCACCTCCTTTGTCAAACTTATTTCTATATATTAATTTTCTTTGAGGCTATGATGAATTGAAGTGTGTTTACAAATTCTTCCTTTAAATTTGATGTTGCTGTATAGAAAAGCTGTTGGTTTGTTCAGGTTGATCTGCAAGTTTTCTGGTAGAGTTTTTAGATCTTGTACATAGAATACATCATCTACAAATAGGGATGGATGTCTTTTTAATTTCCTTCTTTTGCCTTACTGCTCCAGCTGGTTGCTTTGAGCACAATATCTAAAAGAAGTAGGGACAGTGGGCAGCCCTGTCTCATTCCTGAGTTCAGTGGGACTGCTTCAAGCTTCTTCTCCATTTAAGCTGATACTGGATGCACTCTTCCATTCTTTATTTTTGAGGTAAGGAGAAAACATAATACTCTCATTTACCTAGTGCACTGACTCCTGACATACTACATGCTCTCTTTCCTTGAGTCACCAGTTTTGCATTTTCAGTTTCAGATGACTGAACTTGTGAGGCAGCCACTTAGAAGCATGAACACTCTTCTGGTGACTGGGAATAGCTTCTAGAACTTAAAAGTAAAAATGTAACACACATTACATTATACTTTATGCTTGAAGACAGCCTTTCTTCTTTACCTTCCTCTTTTCTGTCTTTCAATATTTATAGTTTTCTTTATTTTTAAATTGTCTCTTGGCCGGGCTGTGGTGGTGCATGCCCTTAATCCCAGCACTCCGGGAGGCAGAGGCAGGCAGATCTCTGTGAGTTCAAGGCCTCCAAAACAATACAGAGAAACCCTGTCTCATAAAACCAAAATAAATAAATAAATAAATAAATTGTCTCTTGAGGTCTTTTATAAGTCAGAAGTGAGGGCCAACTATTTGCCAAAGATATAACATGCTTAGTACACCGATCAGAACAGGCTGTTATATTTTATTACAATTAGCAACTAACCCACATAAACTCTTAATTTCAGGATCCTTCCCAGAATGTTGGCAATGATGAGTCTGCATGCCACATGGCCACAGTATGGTGGGACAGAATTTCAGATGGCACCCTCTCCACTTAGGTGAGCACAAACTCTGCTGCAGCCTCAATGGTATTTCCCTAATGGCTGAATGCCACACAGTCTAGGCCTTCACTGGATCTGACTTGCTGTGCCTGATAAAAACAGACCACAAGAAATATCACTGCTTAAGAAACTACAGCAACTCCTAAGAATTCTTGGAACTATCTTTGCAAAATGTTTTCCTTCTCAGTCTCTTAGTTTAGCTAAGAGTCTATTTCTAGAACCAATGATACAAGAGCAAACTCTTACCATAATGGAAAAGTGTTTCTTTATAGAACAGTGTCTGAAACAAAACTGTTTCAATTTCTCTTCTAAGTGTCAACTTGGCAAGAACAGGAAAATCCCAAATACCCAGGCCTTCCCTCTTTCCCTACACACAAAAACACACAGACAGACAGACAGACAGACAGACAGGCAGATAGACACACACACACACACACACACACACACACACTCACACACACACACAAATCTCTTTCTCTTTCTGCTATATTCTAATAGCAACTCATTTTTAGGATTCCAAAGTTGTTCTTTATGCCTACCTCCATTCTTTTAATTATGTTTTGTAACAGTACTTTTGCCTTTTGTAGACATTGTTTAAAACTACTTATCTGGAATATTATTTTCCAGAGCAAATCAGGACACTTATTTTACTTACTTTTCTCTGAGGACCAGGTTTCTGTGACTCTGACTTGGTAAGTGAAACTCTGCATTGGTAGTCTTATAGGTTGGAGGAAGACTAGAACAAACAACAGCAGACTCATAAAGAAAACCTTAGGAAGTGTTGTCTTTTTCTGTCTTTACTAAATATGACAACTGGGGTGGGGGGACGTTTCTGATAAGTGCTTGTTGCTTAGCATGTACAAAACCTTGTGTTTCATCTCCATCGCCATGGAGAAAAGGAAAAATGACCATGGGAAAATTATTTTAATTACTCAGCATCTTAAATCCAAATGGCTAGTGATCTGGAAAACAGATCATAAAATAAAATTTCTGGAGCTGATAGGAGTAGGGAGTGGCTGCTTAAGATAGTCACAAGATTGTTCTGGAAAATTGAAAGTAGAATATAATGTACAATGTAGAACTATGGTGAGAGGAAGAGTCAATAAACTATTTAAATTACTTTTGCCAAATAGCAGTCCACTATAACCTGTATGGTATAGTGTATAACTAGCTATAGCATTCATTGATGCTTGAAAACCTGTAAGTAACCTAATTGCTATAGCGTTTTCAGACTGGAACTATCAGAATGTCTTGACAAATATTATACATATATCAGTGATAAGTATGAAGGATAAAGACTTGAGATAATTATAATATATTACTAAAATATCTTTAATTTATCTTATAGTATATGCTCAAAGACCTCCACTGGACTCCTGAAGCACATGGAAGTCACATTATCACCATCCATTTATTTTTGTTCAGTGTTCTTGCCATAAAGAGCATATTTCCCTTGATTCAGGCTAGCTACAGAATCTGTGTTAACCAACAAAATGGGCAGAATGGGCGGTGCTCGCGCGCCTAATGGAGAGCGGGACACCCTCTGCGGGTCGGGTTTGGGAGCGCGCTCCCGGAAGCCAGCCGCGAGCCTCGCCCAGCCACCGAGGCTGCTTCCCGTAGCCAGTTTTGTTAGTGCTAAGTTCGCGTGGGTCCTGACCCGTGGGTGGCGACGGCGGAGGTCGGCGGGAGGCTGCCCACAGCGCCACGCGCAGGAGCTACATGATGTGGAAAGTAAAATCACTTGTTTGATGCTTGGGATGGGAGCAGAGAGGCAGGTGGCTCTGAAGTTTCTGGTGTGGTATTGATAGCCAATTAGCTGTGTCACCGTGTTATGATGCCATCTCGTACCAATCTGGCGACTGGGATCCCCAGTAGTAAAGTAAAATATTCAAGGCTTTCCAGCACAGACGATGGCTACATTGACCTTCAGTTTAAGAAAAGCCCTCCTAAGATCCCTTATAAGGCCATTGCACTTGCCACCGTGCTGTTTTTGATTGGCACCTTGCTCATAATCATAGGCTCTCTCCTGCTATCGGGCTACATCAGCAAAGGGGGGGCAGACCGAGCCGTTCCTGTCCTCATCATTGGCATTTTGGTGTTCCTGCCAGGATTTTACCATTTGCGCATCGCCTACTATGCATCCAAAGGCTACCGGGGTTACTCCTATGATGACATTCCAGACTTTGATGACTAGCAGTCACCTCAGCCTTGAGAAGAGACACAGTGCACTCACTTTAAGACATCAAGCAGAAACTATGGCTAAGTCTGAGGAAATCTACAATTTGCAGATGTTTACCAAAACAATGGCCGGATTGTATGAGTCCTTTTCCAAAATGCTTATGCTTTTAATTAGCTAATTAGGACATGTTATGTTTTCATCTGCTGTCCCTGGCAAAGCTTGACAAGTTTTTCCACATGTGTATGCATCATGTACTAACTGTGAGGCTAATTGTCTGGGAAAGCAGGCTATTCTATAGTGGAAAGTGTTACCCTCTTTCGGGGTGAGCCTTCCTTTTGCCTTCTCGTCAGCTTGTTTTTGTAGCATATGAAAAATGTATTATGTCTAGTTTCTTATTACTAAGTAATTTATTTTTTAAAATATCTATCTTATCCCTTACACTCTCCTCTATCTTCACATTCTGGTAAAATTAAAGTATCTGTCTAATCCCGTATACTCTCCTCTACTTTCATATGCTGGTAAAACTATCTGTGATCCATCTGTAATAGACTTTTTTAAAAAATAAAAAAAAATGGGCAGAATGAACTCTTGGACATTTTAGAATCTAGATTTTGAAAAGTACAGCTTCTCGGGTGTGGACACACAGAGGTCATCTTGGTGAAGACCTTTGCTGTTCTGAACATCGAACATCCCCTGAGATCTTTGAGAAGCAGATGGAGGATCAACACTGCAGACCAGGCTTAATGGCCAGTTGTCCTCTGATAATGAGATGACTGACAGCACAGGAGCTCACCCTGAGTGTCATTGCTGCCATTTGTTCTGTGAAAGGACAATGAAGTCATCCATCTTCTGGAACACCAACTTAGAATACCAAGTCACAGGGTGGGTCACTGGGGCAGGGAAACCTTGGGAGTGTGGCTTTAATTTGCCCTGCATACGGAGACCAGTGGTTCTAGGCTCTTCCCTTGGCACATGGGGTGGGTCTACTGTCATTATTCATGAAACCGCAATCATTATTCATGAAAGCGCAATCATTAGACATTCACAGTGACACAAACAAGGAGAAGCTTCTGCCTTTGTCCCTGGACCACTCTGAGATCCCTGCCATGTGGTGAACAACCCCAAGTACATCTGCCTGCCAGCTAGGGAAGAAGACGCTTGCCCTTCCAACCATCGCACACTAAGATGCAAAGGGCAGAAGAATCATGTAGCCAGCCCTCAAAATTATGAGAGTAGATTATTGGTATCTTGAGCCACTAAACTTCAAGGCTGGTTTCTATGCAGCAGTAAGTGAAAGAAATACTCCTTAAACATGAATTGCAAAATTACCACCACCAGCATTTAAAGTGCAGTAAAACTCCTGAACATTTGTTTGTAGTGACTACTGAAACAGAATTGTAGAAAAACCACAGTAGAGCCTAAGTTTTAAGACTTGTGGATGGTTTCATTTAATTTAAAGACATGAAACATGATTCAGTATTTAAAATCACCTCTCATAAAATTACTATTATTTCTAAAGTTAATGTTGAAGAGATCAGTAAGTACTAAGAAAATAAGGGCAGTACTTCAAGTTTGAGAAAACGGCAAGTAGGTAAAAGACTGATTTTACTTGTGAAAATATAGCACTTAGATTAACTTTGTATCCTACATGTTCAGTATTATTAGCCTACATCATATGAAGAATTTGTATATGACAGAACATAGAGTACTGAATTCTACCAAACATGCTATTTTATCTTACTTAAACATTAAGGACAAACACACTGATGAAGCATGGTATATTGGAGAGCCAGCAGAACTCCCATTCACAAATATTTCCCTTTGATAGGAGTTTAGATTACAGTTCATTAACTTTAAATATGTTAATAAATCCCTATGTCTTATAGCATATAAATTTCACTTTCTACTGCTGCTTTAGATATTACATACTTCCAACCAAAACTAAGGGTGCAGTTTATTGATGAAGGGTAAACATCACTTCCAACAGTATTGTCCTCAGCAAATACCCAACTAGAAAGCAAGGGCCCTGTGCCAACAAATCACTGAGAGAGTCACAAGCTACAGAACAGACAGGAGCGTATTGCAGAATTCCTGCTTTGTAGTATGATGAAAGCTAGGAAAAGCTAGAATTCAACATAAGCATTATAAATCTTCAAATTTGTCACCGATTAAAGGATTTCAAAATTTAAAGAAAATATAAAATCCCATTTTATTTACCGTAGTAAAAGGTTTCTGAAAATAAAAAGGTAGGAGAAATAAAATGATTAAAATTAAATTAGTATTGTGCAATTAACTTTCTTCCCATCACATTATGAGACTAAAAATAATAAATACAGTAAGTTTCCTACCTCTGAGATAGACTTTAAGTCTGCACTATCACAGATGAACTGTATCGTACCAGTAGAACAGAAATCTCTACAAGGTGATGTAGAAAAGTGCACCCCAGGCATGGTGGTGAATGCCTTTAATCTCAGCGTCTAGGAGGCAACAGCAGGTGGATCTCTGAATTCAAGGCCATCCTGGTCTATCCGGAGTCCAAGGCCAATCAAAGATAAGCCTGAGAGCCTGGAGAAAAGGAAGTGGGGCAATACTGAGTGTTAGAAATGCTCTCACCTAAACCATGACACCTGATTTGTCCAGGGTTAGCTATACTTAGGTGCTACAGAGCTCACACCCTAGAAACCTGGAAAGCTCACCTAACTCCCAGGAAAAGGCTGAGTCAACAGAGAATATCCTGAGAATGATAGCTCATTAAACATGCATGCTTGTGTTTTTAAGACTTGAATGACATGGGTGTAACCTTACAAGATTCATTAAATTCCTTTTGCAGTTTATAAAGAAAATACACTAAAAGACAGTGAAGAAAGCTTATTTTATAACACGTTATTTTCTACTTTTTTGGTATTTCATTGCACTCTTCAAAAAGTGCTCCGCTCTTTACTTTACCATGGCATAGTGAGTACATTAGGATGCAAACTTTACTTCAAAAAGAAAAACTAAACTAGACTCTCAAGTTTCACTTAAGTATTTGTTGGGACTGGTGCCATTGCTCAGCAGGTAAAGGGGCTTATCACAGAAGCCTGACAACCTAACTTTGATCTCTGGAGCCTTCATGAAGGTGAAGGAGAGGGCCAAAGTTATTTGTTGCCCTCCACATGTGTGCCGTGGCATGCACACACCCATGCAAACACACCACACGCACTAATAAAGTATAAAAGTAACTAAAAGAAACATTATTTCCAATGCCATCATGTGTCATACAAACTGCTAAGGCATCTGCTGAAGTGCCTTGTGAAGGCATTGTGTTTCCCTCAGGCTTCTCGGTGGTCAAGGTTTCTGCACATCAGCTTTCAGACTTACATTACAACTCTGTAACTAGAGTTCTGAAAAGCAACTATTTACTAGAAACAGTAGCTGGAACAGCCAAGTCAGTGAGAAACTTCTTCTGACATTGTCTGTACAGAGGTCAGCGTCTCCCACACAGACACTGACAGTGCTTATCTTCTGATGTGGGATGGTGGGCGCAGTGCATATACTGCAGGGCAACAACTAGCAGCTCTTCTGTCATGAGGTCCTCACCAGTGACTGTCCCTCCTCCGGTAACAAACAAATGTAGCAAGGAAGCGGCCCGCAGCTTCTGCTTCTAAGGCAGAACATATAATGTTCTAGGACTCTTGGTCCTTTCTATAAGACAATCATACTAGATGACTTTTAAAGTTCTTTCCCACTTAAAAACCTTTATTTCTTTTCTCTATCTTAAATTTTCCTCAAAGGTACCAAAGTCAGAGTAAAAGAGTGTCTTCATCTTTGTTCACAGATCTGCGATTAGGGACGCCTCCTAAGTTTTCCAGTACTGCCAAACTCTGGGAATGTAAAAAACATGAGTGTCCCATGGATGAATGAGCTGTCTGCTAATGAATTTCTTTTAATCACCTTCCTTTCTGACCACTGCCACCTACTGCTTCGATGGCAGGATCCCCAAGCCCTCCATAGGAAAGAGGATCCTCGAGGAGCAGCCTGGCTTGCTTTGTTCTTGATGCTGTTAGTAAGATGCCAAGCTTCTGGTAAATAGTGTGCTGGTAGACAAAGCAGAGCACCAAAATCAATATTCACCACATAGCTAGAATATGCAATAAATCTAGAGAGGAAAAACAATTCTACATCACCCAAATATAATCTTGTCACGAAAGCAATTCTCAAAGGTAAAATTACTGTTTCTGTCTTAAATAGCTTTAAAAGGACTTTATAATATAATACAACCCTCCCAATCTGTTTTCATTTCTCAAAATGTATATACTTTACTCTTCAACTCAATGTAGTTCTTAATGTATGGAGTGATATAAGAGCCTGGATTATGAAACACTAAATGACAAAAATACAGATGCAGAACTCATTTGCGAAAATATCTAAGATCATTTGGATAGCACATCTAATTAAGGCTGACATCTACTCCAACCCCTCACCTCACACTGCACGGATCCCTCACCTCACACACCTCTAACTCCTCACCTCACCCTGTCCCAACCCCTCACCTCACACTGCCCCAACACCTCACCTCACACACACCCTCACCTCACACACACCCTCACCTCACACTGTCCCACTCTCTCACCTCACACACACCCTCACCTCACACACACCCTCACCTCACACACACCCTCACCTCACACTGCCCCAACCCCTCACCTCACACTGCCCCAACCCCTCACCTCACACACACCCTCACCTCACACTGCCCCAACCCCTCACCTCACACACACCCTCACCTCACACACACCCTCACCTCACACACACCCTCACCTCACACTGCCCCAACCCCTCACCTCACACTGCCCCAACCCCTCACCTCACACACACCCTCACCTCACACTGCCCCAACCCCTCACCTCACACACACCCTCACCTCACACACACCCTCACCTCACACACACCCTCACCTCACACTGCCCCAACCCCTCACCTCACACACACCCTCACCTCACACACACCCTCACCTCACACACCTCTAACTCCTCACCTCACACACACCCTCACCTCACACACACCCTCACCTCACACTGCTCCAACCCCTCACCTCACACTGCCCCAACCCCTCACCTCACACACACCCTCACCTCACACACACCCTCACTTCACACACACCCTCACCTCACACACCTCTAACTCCTCACCTCACACACACCCTCACCTCACACTGCTCCAACCCCTCACCTCACACTGCCCCAACCCCTCACCTCACACACACCCTCACCTCACACATCCCACCTCTCACCTCACACACACCCTCACCTCACACACACCCTCACCTCACACACCTCTAACTCCTCACCTCACACACACCCTCACTTCACACACACCCTCACCTCACACTGCCCCAACCCCTCACCTCACACACACCCTCACCTCACACACACCCTCACTTCACACTGCAGGGATTCCTCACCTCATACACCTCTAACTCCTCACCTCACACTGTCCCACTCTCTCACCTCACACTGCCCCAACCCCTCACCTCACACACCTCTAACACCTCAGCTCACACAGCTCCAACCAACCTGTGCCAAACCCTTACCTCTCACAGCTCCAACCCCTCACCACTTAAGTCTTGAATCATAGCACATTGTTCTGGTAGAAACTAGCAGATCATATCTAGAAAAATCTTTCTATATTTTGACCTGTGATTTTTTAAAATCAGAACTATTAGATGTCAGCTCTATACAATACTTCTAATTAATTTAAATTAATATTTACTATATTTATTTAAGAAATACTCTTCATTATGGGAGTAAACAACCATTTTATGAGTGAACCTATGGCCCACTTCGTGAGGTGGCACCTACACATGGTGCTGTTATCAAGGCCAAGAAGGTGCAACTCAACAGACAGGACAGCAAGGATTCTGGGAAAAGCAACAGTTCAGTGGGCAGGTGCTAATGGTATGGAGGAACAAAAGTCAGTTCCATCTTTGAGAAATGTACCAGGCAGCCATCAATCAAATGGGTGAGATGTGCTGCCACACACAAAAGTCCTGCTGTATTACTATTTGAAAAAGTAAGATTTTTGGTTTAGGTTTTGTGTGTATGTGAAATATAACATTCAAAATTCATTTTATGTAAGGTTGGCTTATCAGGTAAATTTAAAAACTTACATATTTAGATTCTGAATTCTTTTTAAACTATTACTAGCAATTTTATAAGTGAGAATAAGTAATATCAAACTCAGTTTATTTCAGTCTTTTTGCAAGCCAGATCCAACTAACATGAACCTATGTTTTAAAAAAGGTTAGAACTCACAGAAAGAAAATGAGACATGCATTTTATGCTCTACTGTTCCTTATCTATACATCTGCAATTAAGTAAATTCCTGAGGCCTGGATCATGATGTTCCTCTCTAATCAAATTCTGATTCTATTCTTAGGTTTTCCAGTGTCTTCAAGTATACCTCTAGAGCACCTATAATAATGGCCTCCTTCCTCCTCTTCCAAGATCCGACTTTTGTCATCACTTCAAACAATCTTACCTCAAAAAATTATAAAGCCCAATATTTTATTTCCCCCTTCTGCCTTCATGTCCCTGTGACGCGACAGAGAGTCCCAGTCCCTGAGTCCCTTGGCTCTTGCTACCTTATAGCTTGGGCTCCTTTCCTAGCTGAACAGTTACAAAGTCACTTCACCTCCTCCTGCCCAGTTCCCACATCTACACAGAGAGCAGCATGTCTGCTTCACAGCTCTTCCACCCACTGGTCTCTGAGCTTGCCCTGTACCTGGCATGGAAATACAACACAAGACAAAACTCACCTTCTCGTTCTCATACATTCTGAGCTCTTCAACTAGGATGGCTGTGTGGGTCAAACCAGATTAAGGCACGGCACACAACATACAGCAGCTGGCTGATCTTACCTAAAGCACTTCAACTTCCACACCTTAGTTCCCTAACTCCAGTGTACTGTCAGTCTGCTGGAATCTCAGCCACTTCCTCACAGAAGGTCTAACATGTCCCATGGAAAGCGTATGGTTTCCTAATTAGAGCTGGATCCCTGGGTTGGTCATTCTGGTCAGTTCTTTCTCTGTCTCTATTACAGAGATTTTTTTGTATTATCTACCTGGCCCTAAAAAGCCCCTTTGAGATCCTATCTTCTACCCTCTTCTCTTTAAAATATACATGTGCCCCCTGTGTGACCTCATGGTTTCAAATCTGTCTTATCAACTGGTGAGTTCTTACACTTGAATTCCCATCCTGGAATGCCCGTTTCCATCCTGCACAGTGACTTCCTTCAACCAACTGTTGGGACCTATCCTCTCAACTATCACCTCAATCATGACTTCTCATCTTTTCCTAACTGATGCTTATTTTTATCTTTTCTCTGGGTGGTTGTCAGTAGCATCCATCAACCCCATCAAGCAGAATGGCTGGAGATAGCCCTGACCTATTCAACAAGGATAACAGTGTCTCACATCAAAGGTTAAATGATTGTGAAAATGTGATTGCCACAAACACAGAAGAAATAATGAGAAACATCAGACATGATTTAAATTTGAAAACTATGACAAGGTAAGGAAATGTCTTTTTTAAACTTCATAAAATGTGGTTAATAAAAAGACATAAGGTAGAAGTCATTTAAATTTAGAAAATATAAAAGAATTAAAAATTCCTGTATTACTTAAAACATTTGGGGGTATCTTACAACTGGAGAAAGGAATTATGATCTATTAAATACAAAGTCAGAATTAACTAAAGATAATCACACAAAATGGATCCAATGACATGCTACCAATGTCCTCCTCTAAGTAGTGATCAGTTATATTAACTGATATCTTTACAACCAATTTTGAAATTCTAGAACAAACCTAACTTGGCTGCTACAGATTGTTTCTTATACACTGCTGGGTCAAGTACAGCAATATTTATAAACTTTTATACCTATGTTTGTGTTAAGGTTTTTCTTTAATTTTCATTTCTCATACTTTTCTTCTAGATTCATAAAGTTAGGAACTCTTTGTCTCTTTCCCCAAACTACTGACTGATCCTGCAGGATGAGACTCAGTGTTTGATGGATGTGTTGTAGAACTTGTTAGTAAAAGTGTCTAGAGTTGGCATTTCTTTTGTGAGGATTTTTGTTAGGTGCTTTAAGTCTTCAATTTTCAACTAGTTTGCTCAAATCTGTCCTTTTGACCTAGACATTCAGTTATATCAACTTACATTAAGGATCAGTAATTGATCTACCTTGAAATATCCACAGTCATACCCCATTTTTGGCCCAGATCTTGTTGATTTTTTGCTTTGATAGGTTTTACAGTCAATCTACTACTTTAGTGGCACTGTTTCACTTTGAGTTATTTTTATTCTCTATTTCATTACTACATAACCCATTTTCATGTGGGAAGGTACACCCACCTGTTCATCATACACATGTGGAGGCCAGAGGTTTACATTTGGTATCCTCCTTTATTATAGTTTTCCACCTTATTTTTTGAGATGATGTGTCTCACTTAATCTGGGGCTTGCCATATCACTAGACTAACTGGCCAGTGAGCTCTCAGGAGCCTCCTGTTTCTGCCACCCAGCCCTGGCGTTATGGGACTGCACTGCCACATTTAGCTTTTACATGGGTGCTGAGATTTGAACCTGGGTTCTCTGCTTTCATGGTAAGCCATTTACCTGCTGAGCTATCTCCCCAACCCTCTGTTTTACTTCAATTAGAAGAATATCACATTACTCCTTTTTAGTTCTCAGAGGTTCATGGCTATTATTCTTCAGTCTCTAATGCTGCAAAGTAACTTCAAAGTGGCTATTCCCAAGTTCTGATGGTACTTTCTTGGTAACAGACATTTTCTAATTTTCCTTGTGTTTCTTTGAATCACGCACTATTCAGAAAGAAGCACATTAATTTTCCAGGACTCTTGCATCAAAATTAATGCTATTATAATCACAAAATATTGAATGCTAAAATGTTATTAAACTGGTTGTATTTGACCATGATTATATAATCTTTGTATGTTCAAAAAGAATGTTTTGGTTGTGGGGTACAGTGTTCCACACCTGCCCATTACACCAAGTTAGTAAACTCTCTTATTAAAATCTTTCTTCTTGATTTTTCTCTGCTCTTCTATCACCTACTAAGAAGTTTAGTCCAAAAAGCAGACAATAATATAATGGATTTGCCTTCTTTTGTGGTTCTTTTCCTTTTTCTTTCTTTTCTCTCTCTCCTTTTTACTTACTAGATTTTAGAGGTATATTAGCTATATATCAATTTAAAATTAAATGGTGCTTCTATCACTTAGTGACTCTTGAAATCCATTTTGTCTCAAAGTCAATGTTGGCTGATATGATGCAGGCCCAGCTTTTGTGTGACTCAGGAACCTGTCACTAACTTTCTATGTGTTCCTTAAAGGAATGTGGTTTGTAACAAGCATCTTAACAGGACTTTGCCACTTTATTCTATACAACACTGCCTGGGCATTCGGTCATTGTATATGCACTGAAGTACCAGTGTCTGCAGTCATTACTACGAACTATCCCTTCTTCCTCTTCCCATTTTTTGCTTAGCTTTTACATACTGGATGTTTATTCTCATCCCATTTTCTGTACTCTCATTACATTATTTCTAGGTCTATAGCTAATCAATAATTTTACCCTGATCCCAAGTTTTATTCAGCATTTGCTTATACCTACCAGCATTTACCTCTCTGTTCTCTAATTCTTTCTGTAACTCCCCCTCAATCTGTAACAACCTTCCCTATCTGAGAAATGAGTTTACAGCACTGAGGACTTCACTCAAAGATGGGTCATTTCCAGGCTCCAGATAGCTCAGAAAAAGAAGAACAAGGTGAGGTCGGCATGTTGCATGCTCTCCTGGTGCCTGTGGCTTTCCCTCTTTCTTAAAACAAAAACAAAAACAAAAAGACCACCACAACTAACAACAACAAAAAACTCTACAGCCAGGCCAAGGAGTATTTCCCTGGCACATCCGAGCAAATCAATACCACGCGCAGCTGCACAGCCGGCCTCAGCCCCGTCCATCCCCTCCCCCACCCGCCCCACTCGCGACCCTGTGCACCAGCCCAACTCCATTATCTGCCCTGGACTCATTATCTGCCCTGAGCTCGCGAGTCTGGCCCAGGTAACAACTTCTCCAAACGGAAAGGGTCAAAGCAAGGCACATGCACACTGCCCCGTGCCCGCGGGGACTCGGGCTGCCCGGGCTTCCAGACCAGTCGGTGTTGCTTCCTGGCTGCGAGCAGCAGGCGGCGAGTCCAGCACACGCTCGCCCCACGGCAGCAGCTCGAGGCCGCCCGACCCTGCTCAGCCCCCGAAGGTCACCGCACGCGCGGAGCTCCAGCCCCGCGAGCACCCCGGTAGCGGCGGTCCCGCGAGTCCCCATCCCCACCTTCCCGCCCGCGAGCGCGCACGGCGCAACTTTACCGCGGGCGCTCCCGCTCGCTGGCCCGCGGCTGCCGGTCCTCTCCCGCCCGTGCCCGCCCCGCAGCCCGTGCCCGCCCGGCAGCCCGCGCACGCCCGCCCCAAGTTCGTTCCCCGCCACCGCGGCCTGCGCGGAGGGAGGATCGGGCGCGGGGAGACGCCGAGGGGCGGCAAGAGTGGAGAAAGTGCAGAAAAAGCAACTGCCGTTCCACCCGCGGACGGAAAAGTGGCCGGGCGCGGCGGCGGGATTCGGCAAGGCTAACCGTCCCCGGCGGACGCGCGAGCCGCTAGGCGCAGAGGCAGGTAAGATGTAACGGTCCAGGACGGCGGGGGGGGGGCGCACTACTTTACTTTCCCACTCCACTCGGCCCGGCCCCGCCGCCGCGCTCCGCCCCGCGCCCCTCGCCTGGCCCGCGCCGGGCCCCTCCATTACTCACCTTTATTGCGCCGAGGATTCGCCTGCTTTCTGCACTTACACCTGGGGCCATCCGCCTTGATCCTCTGGCTGGTGTCTAAATGCTCGAGTCACCTCCTCCCCCTGCTCACTCCCTCCGGTCCCTCCCCCCTACCCGCCGCCTCAACCCCTCCCCTTCCCCACCGCACCTGGCTTAGGACACTCGCGGCTTTAGGACATCACCCTCCTAACACCTAGCTGTGCTCCAGGGATGGCCAGAACCTTGATGCTAGGGCCAGGGCGGTTTGCAGCAGCTTCGGACTCCGGAGTTTCAATTGGGGAGGCAAGGGGAAAGTTTTGCTCAGGTGTGGTGGGGTGACAGAGGAGGGTGTTGACACCCTGGGGACAGGGACAGGAGGCAACAGGGTAGCCTCCTGGACCAGGTGGAGCTGGCGGCATGGGCCACACCCGCGCAGACCCCCGCGGACAGTGTGCACACTCCTCTGATCCCGGGCTCTCCAGCTGTTGGTGCTGCGACCCGCGCGTGCGCGCCAGGGACGTGGACAACATGCACGCGCGGCGAGCTACCTGGTCGTTCTGTCTAACTACCTCCCCTCCCACAGACGCTCGGGTTTCCCCAGCCTACGCGGACAGGAAGTGACAGCAGTTGGGTTGAACTTTAGCTGGACACAGAAGGAGGCTAGAAATTCTGCTCTCAGGAAAGCAGCATGAGTAATCGCCTGCAAGGTGCCAGACTCACTTCCTAATCCTTGCCTAGCTCACCTGCTGTCACCTTGCCTACCCCGCCCTGCAGGGTCCTAGGGTGGCCAGGTTCATGGGCCTTGTGACTTGCCCAGGAGGCATAAACACCCTAGGAGAGCATGCCTGGAAACCTGTAATCCAAAATGTCCAGAGCATGAGACAGGAGGGTGGCCAAGTGTTCAAGCTAGCCTGCACTACAGTGGAGCTCTGACTCAAAATAACCTCAGATTCACACATATCTGAGCAGTTTAATGACCTCGAGGCTAAAAGCAAAGCTGGCTAGTGTTCCCTGAGGCTGATTATTACCTGAAGTCCTTGACTTTGTACAAAACCCAAAATGCCTTGATACTCGTCTTCAGTAATTAGAATTTAAATTTACCTTTCTCTCCCTGCTTCCCACCCCTTTTAAAGGAGGAGTTGTTAAGGGACAACTTTTTTGAGGTAAGTGACCTAAGCCATTATTTCAGATAAGCAATTATTAAATGTTAATGTATAAATGTGAGAGTTATGGATAGAAGCAACTGAAACATGCCTTAGAGTATAAGGAATAATACACTAAACCAGCACAGTGCTGATGCATGAAAGCTGCCTGGTAAGTTTCTGCCAGCAGATGTTGCCGTGCCTGAGGCAGGATATTTATTGTGTGAGTAGTCATGGTGACATACACCAGCAGTCTATGCTTATGGGAGGTGGAGCAGTGAAGGTCACAAGTCTCAGACCAACTCTGGCTGTATAGTGAGACCCTGTCTGCTCTCACCCCTAGTGTTAAGAGTCATTAAACTCAAGTTAAGTGTACATTTATTGTGTCTGAATAATGGGAGTACACATGTTCTTTGCACATCAGGTCTGTACTTGTGGCAAAAAGAGACTTTTTCTTGGTCCTTGTACAAAAGGCAGTGTTTCTTTTCCTCAGTACCATGTTACCCTACTTACGCTAGCACCTGTGCAATGGGAGAGTGGATGCTCTCATCGCTGGTGACTCACTACTCAATAACCTTTTTTTGTTGTTGTTTTTGAGACAGCATTTCTCTGTATTGTTTTGGAGGCTATCCTGGAACTCCCTATGTAGACGAGGCTGGCCTCGAACTCACAGAGATCTGCCTGCCTCTGCCTCCTGAGTGCTGAGCCACCAATGTCTCAATAAGCTTTTGTGAAGAAGAAGGGGAACAGAATATGTAAGTTTGTATTGGTGTCTAGCACTTGGTAAACTGTAATGAAAGACCACAACAAAAACATCAAGTTCACAAAGATTAAATCTCTTCAGTGCTAATAAAACACTTTAAAGGCATAATCTGATGGAATTTCTACAAAGTGCTTTCTTCCCCGAGGCTAAAAGCAAATTCTTACCCTGAGGAAAAAAATCTCCCCAGGGGCAGGTGGAATGATTGCATTGAGAGCAAAAGTGACAGCCAGCTAACCTGGTGAACTTTAGCTGGGATGTTGTCTGGAGATGCAGTTGACTTTCAGGGGGTGTGCTGCTGAAGGAACTGCATCTCCAGGCAGCAGACTCACTCGCAGACAAATGGCACAGTCTGTAGTGCAGCTGGTGAGGTGGCAGGTGGGATTTCACTATCCCTCTCTTAAGTTACAGGTTGCAAGAGAAACTGAGGTTTTTTCTTGGTTTGAATTTCACAGCCACCAGTTTGAATGAGCTGACACAAAATGCATAATATATAAAGACAAGAGAGTTCTGGCTGTTGTTTTGTAGGCCCCAAGTTTCGGGATGAGCTATAGCAACCCCTCTGGGTGCACTAGCTTTGC